CACACACAATTTATTCCTGAAATAAAAATAGGAAGCATTAAACACCAAAACTGCATTAAAAGCTAATTTGTTCACTAAAGTGAGTTTAGGATTAAAGCAGCTAGTCAAAATACATTGGTCACTCAATCCAAAAGTACTCAAGTGTCAGCACAAGTATTTGTATATTGTTAATGGCTGTCTTTGTAAACCTAATAGTTTGGATCCAAACTTAGCCACATGCAGAATAATTTCCAAGTACAAAGCCCCTTTTTGTTTCTTCCCTGCTAGTTCTTCCTGGAGCCACTTTCTACTCTCCTTTGTCATTTCCTCGCTATTGCTTCTGTCCACACTAATGTTGATTCTAGGATTTAAAATGGTGTTTTCTTATGAGCAATAACTCTACCAAGCTCTTGCAAGAAGTGACATTTGCTACATTTCCTGTGCCTTCTTCCACCCTTAAAAACTATTTTAAGGAACAAATTATAAGGACTGCAGTAGAGTATATAATACATCTCATTTTGAATCACAGAAATTTCAGCTTGGGTGGATCAAAATCAGGACTCATTAAACATTCAGGAATTACAAGTAGTTTCAATTCAAAGTACAGACTACTAAATTAGAAGTTTCATCAGAAGAAACTAGTACAAACTGGCTTCCCATGATGCTGTTGTTGGTGCCTTGGTTCTCAACATACAGGAACTAAGCTTAAACTGGTACTGAAAATAAGATGAAAAATAATAAAAAAGTAACATTTGAAAGAAGATTGGAAGTTGGAGCATTTTACTGTCTGCATGATCATGGAAAATGACTTTGGGTGCATCTACATGGTAGAATTAATGGAGTGTGACACCACTCAATGGTATGGAGTTCTAGGATTTGTAGTTTAGTGAAACACCAGCATTCTTTGACAGAGAAGGATAAAGACCTTGTAGAAGTACAACTCCCATGATTCCATAGTTTTGAGCCATGGCAGAGTGTTGTCAAACTGGATTAACTGTACAGTGTAGATCAGTGTTCTCAACCTGTGGGTCCCAAGGTGTTCCAGCATTCAACTCCCAGAAATTCTAAAATCTAGTAAACTGGCTGGGATTTCTGAGAGTCATAGGCCAAAACACCTGGGGACCCACAGGTTGGGAAGTGCTGCTTTAAAAGCTTGGAAAAGTTTTTTGGAAGGGAACACAATGGCTCTGATACAACATGGCTATTTTGGGAGCTGAAAATTGATTAAAAAAATTAATTTTTCCAACTTTTCCTTCTATGTAAACTTACAGCTTTGAGCCTATGTTTAACACTGTGTTATAGTGATAATCAATTTTCTTATTGGCAAAGAGATATGTGCTCTTTAAAAGAAAAGAAATTGCGAATTCACTAGTGCCCCACATCTGCACATTATTCACTAGTGCCCCACATCTGCATGAGTTTGTGTGTGGAGCACACAAAGCAGAGATGCTCTAAGCGACCTCTGTCAGGTGGTCAATTCTAATAATGCTCAATTGCATGGATGATCATTGCTTCTGAGCAGTTCGAAAACTTATAATGGGACTTGAGCATCCATATATTTTGATACCCGTGTGTAGTCCTGGAACTAAACCCCAATGGGATACCAGGCCCACAAAGTGCCTTCAGATAAAGCCCACTATCAATAGAAAACATATTTTGAATACTCTACAAGGCCATTTTAAAAGTGCCATTGACAGCTGTTTAGGAGTGTTACCACACAATTCTGCTATACCAGGAATGGGCAAACTTAGGCCCTCCAGGTGTTTTGGACTTCAACTCCCACAATTCCTAACAGCCAGTAAGCTGGCTGGGATTTCTGGGAGTTGAAGTCCAAAACAGCTGGAGTTTGCCCATGCCTGTGCTATACTATCACAGCTATATAACTGTTCCCTGGAAGTTTCAAGGTCCCTGTTTCTAGGTGAGATGGGGCAGAAGGACACAAGCTCTTTTATGGACAGCGCTTCATGATCCCCTACTTTCAGGAGTGACAGAGTTATTGACTTCTAAACTGGGCCAAATGAGCATGAAATCAATGTTGAAAATACCAATTTCATGCAAATTTGGAGGCCACACTGGGGACCAAAATCTCACTTTTCTGGTGAGGAGGTGGCCAGACACCCACCTATGCCGAACCAGTATCCACCCAGCTCTCTGTTCTCCTTTGCCCCCTTTCCTAGCTTTAAAATATTCAAAGAAAGTCCCTCACTGCACATGGAGGCTTCTAAGGGCTCAGTTTTGTGTCTCAATGTTCTGGAGAAGAGAGATGAGAATTTATCCTTCAGAGCTCTGCACATCATTTAGACATAACACAAAACCCTTTAGTCTCAGTAGGTCAGTAAGGACCTTTCCTTTAACTTTCCAAGAGGAAAACAGATGGTGGGGAGAGGAGACTGCCACTGCCATCCCTCCTCCATGGGCTGCTTGAACCTGCAAAGGTGGGATTGCTGCAGAGTCTGCTACTGAGATATCTGATGGTGATATCAGGAGCCACACATCCTCAAAGATACAGACTTAGTCTGGAACTTTGGGGGTGTTATTTTAACCCAGAAAAAAAAACCTAGATTACTAGTTTTATTCTGGGTGAATGTGTATTATCATGAGGAACCATTTGGATATCTCATGATAATGCGCCCCCTACACAGCATAGATGGGACCTACCATGGTGCATAACTTCAGAGAAAGAGAGGGAGGGGAGGGAAAGAGAGAGAAAGTTACCGACTTTCATATGCACAAACCTCTTTATGGAAAATTTGTCATTGTATTGCCAAACACTTTCATGACTGGACTCACTGTGTTTTGTAGGTTTTTCGGGCTAAATGGCCATGTTCTAGAAGCATTCTCTCCTGACATTTTACCTGAATCTATGGCAGGCACCCTCAGAGCCTCTGAGAATGCCTGCTATAGATGCAGACAAAACATCAAGAGTGAATGCTTCTAAAACATGGCCATACAACCCAAAAAACCTACAACAACCCAAATTTGTCACTGATCACTCAGAACAGAATTCTAATTCCCAAACAACCCCAAAATTCAGTTGTGACGGCATACATTTGACTTAATTCACCAACAGTGTGCAAGTCATATTTTATTTCTGTCTTTTGTTTTAATGTATCTAAGCACAGATCTTATAATGGATCTTGCTTCTCCTTAGTCCCTTATAGAAGTAAACCTCCACCTCCGCAAGGATAAACCGTTTCCCACTAGACCTTGTATAAAGGGATTTAAATCACAACTCCCCCTATGAACATCCATGATTTCATTGATATGTATATCTGGCATTAGACTCAAAGCATTTTCTGGTTATGCTTTTAATTATTTATATCCCCCTCTTCACAAGCAGAGAAAAAAATGCCTTTGGATATAGCTTTCTCTCTTTAGGTAAATAAAACCTGCTCACGCTGACACCCAAAGGCAACTTACTGTTTCATTGTAGATTTAATAGCTGAATGGCACGATTGACTGTGACCTTGTCAATGGGTGACCTCGATGTAATACCCGCAGATCACAGAACTCTATTTATTGGTGCTCAGGAGTTGCATAGACTAACATCCAACTAACATCCCATTTACTGGTTTCATAGATGAACACAGAGTATTAGAGTAAATGGGATTGTTTATCAAATCATTGCTGGGTTTCTTTTTATGAAAGAATGAACATCACATAGATAATGCATTGGATTTCATTATACCATCTATTTTGTATTCCTAAAATCATTAACTTGACTGCAAAAGTTTTTTATGATATATGGTAATGAAGTAATAAAATCCATAAACCTCTTATCTAAACCAACATTTGGAAGCAGCATTTATGTGGCTTTGTGTAGCATCTGGGTTCTTCTGTGCCATTTTTGATCTGTTTAGAGAAGCTGATTAAATGTGAACACAAAGAAAACAGGAAACTCCTTCCCAACAAGAACAGCTTAGCATAGCTTCCAGAAAAATATATGCAAAACACTTGCAGATAGTTTATACTGAATGATGGCTCCAATGATGCAGCTTACATTTTCATATATTTTGAGCTATAGATCAGACATATGTTTGCATCACTCTTCTGCAATGAGAGTTTTGACTTGTATTTCTGTTGTTTTTGTTCTTCTCCTTCTGCTGCTGTTTATCTTAGGATAACAATAGCCCTGTGAGTTGGAACATTTCCAACTTTCAAGCACATTTCGGCAAATAGTCTATCAGAAAAGGGGTTTGTGTTAATTCAAAAAGAAGGAGGTCATCCTCATAGTGTCTTCATTCATCTTGATAAATGTATGGTTTGAAGCTCTAAAACAAGGTTTGTGTCTCAGGCAGGATCTACATTGCCATACAATCCAGTTTCAGAATACAGATTAATTGCATTGAACTGGATTATATGAGTCTACACTTCCATATAATCCACTTCAATGCAGTTAATTTGCACACTGATCCTGGATAACATGGTAGTGTAGATCCAACCAAAGAACATAGGGATCCCTCCCAGAACAGCTTCTGGGAGCATATCTACATGGGCCAAATACCATGGGGTGAACAAGAATTGAAGAACAAGAATTTCCCTGTACTCTACAGTGCAAGGGCAGAGGTGCAGCACTTACCTTTGTCACCATTTGTTTTTGTAGCAAAGGCACCATGCAACATAAGAAGGAGAGGAAGGAAAGTATAGGAGCTCCATTGTCACCACTATGATGACAAACAGTGACAAAAGTAGGGGGACTGTCCAGCTGGGCCGAACTGGTTTTGGCCTGACTGGCCAGTATGGAGTCATTTCCCACTGCTGATGTGGTTCAGAAGACACTACGATAGAGTCTGGGGCTGGTCTGAAGCGGAATGCTTCAGACTGACAACAGGGTTTGCTGTCCATATACATGTACCCTGGATCTAAAAAGCAACATTAGAAATCAACTGTTCAGCCAACCCAGATAGTATACCCGACATGAGCACTGTTTGACATGAGAGCTATCCATAAAGTCAATATTATGATTCCAACTAATCCTTACTAATGATGCTGATTATTCTTATATTGCTTCTTGATATTACCTGTATAGATTTCTGCTGAAATTGGTATTGAGCACTCTGAGATGAGCTTGTTTCTGCCTTCTCAAATTGGTTCTTCACACTTGCTAAGCCTCCAGGTATCCTATAAGCCTCTGCCTCCTCAACAGCCTGGTAAGAAAAAAAAAACACAAATCAAACTTTTCTGTTCAATATGATAATGAACATTGTGAGAGGAAGTCATAGGGAGGCGAGGGCAAGCTTGTTTTCTGCTGCCCTGGAGATGAGGATGCAGAACAATGGCTTCAAATTACAAGACAGGAGATTCCATCTGAACATTAGGAAGAACTTCCTGACTGTGAGAGCCATTCAGCAGTGGAACTCTCTGCCCCGGAGTGGTAGAGGCTCCTTCTTTGGAGGCTTTTAAACAGAGGCTGGATGGCCATCTGGTGGGGGTGCTTTGAATGCAATCTTTCTTGGCAGGGGGTTGGACTGGATGGCCCATGAGGTCTTTTCCAACTCTATGATTCTATGATTCTATGATTGTTGTTTTAAAAAACCAGGCAGCTCTTGGTTTTTTTATATGCAAAAATATTTAGTTGGAGGCAAAAACTACAAACCCCAGAATTCTGCAGGAAGCAGAAATCAGATTTAAAATGGATTAATTCTCTAGTATGCTGAGGCCATTGGTTTTTGATGCAAAACACATTTTGGTACCTCATGGTTCAATACTGTTTATTAAATTCAAACAGCAGCTGATTCACATACATTTCTTAATAAGTCATGCCAAAATTATAGAGCAAACTCATTATGAGGTTGTCAGCAAAATACTTAATATATGAATAGACTATACATTATCAAGATTCATACACAGAGGCCCACTGTGGTATTATTACCTCATTGATTTAAAAGATTAAAAGCACAGTCACAAGAAACAGCTTTTCACACTCTCCTAATTCAATTCTTCTTCAATAGCATTAGCTACTTTATACCATCAGGTGTTTTGAGGCAAGGTCTGTTCTAATACAGCGAGGAATTAATCTCTCTCTGTCTCATTCTTTTTCAGAACTATCATGGAAACTCTCAGAGGCCTCTTCCATAATGCTAAGGATTAACAGAAGAATGGAGAGGCTGCATTTTGTGCTTGGGAAGAGGTGTATTTGGATACTGTGATCCACAAAGTCCATTAAAAGCCAGGGCTCAGTGACAAATTAGAAATGGGGATTCTGGCGAGACTATAAAAACCTCACTTTGGCACTTAGCGATCCACAGTGCATCTGGAAATGACTTACTCCCGATGAACGCAATGACTATTCATCGCTACTTAGGATTTTCCCATTACCTATTCATCATACTCTGTTTCTCTCAACTGCTATGTGATGTTGTTGCTTTTAACACCATATACACCTAAAATGAGCCACTTACAGCATCTTACAGCCATTCAGGTAGATTACAGTAGCCATGTGGATTATGGATGATGAGCCATACAGTCTGTCTAAATAGGTCTATTTCTAGCCACTTCATACCATGCATCCGAAGAAGTAGACTAATGACCTCATCACACTAGCAAAATTGCCCGTCCTCTGACAGTTTGACCTCACTTCAGGTATGGAGCCTGCCAAATCCAATCACATGACATAGATCTAGTTCTGGTAGCGCTCTGTGCCTGAAGTTAGGTGAAATTGTCACAAGAGGTAGCAGCAAGAACATGGGAGCACAGATGAGCTCCCTCTGTCAGCTCTGGCTTCCCATGCGGGAACATGAGATGGTAAAACATCAAAACATCTGGTTATCCCCTGGGTAACATCCTTGCAGATGGCCAATTCTCTCACACCAGAAGTGACTTGCAGTTTCTCAAGTCTCTCCTGACACACAGAAAGATAGAATAATAATAAAACTGATGGGACTTTCTGTGTGGTTTGGGACTTATTTCCTGCAAAGGGGAGAGCGCTGTCTCTCTGTGTATTTGTGTGTGTGTGTGTGTGTGTGTGTGTGTGTGTGCATACACACAGAGAAAATGTTGTTTCCTGCAGTAAGAATGCTAGTTTCTGCCCAAAAGAAGTGACATGCAAAATTTGCACAAAATAAGTCCTGAACTCTTAACAACCCTTAAAAACTGTGAAGTAAGGAGAACATTGCAAAATTGTTTGTTGCTTCCCTTGAAAACAAAATGAACATCCTTAATTTTCAAACCATGTTCTACATTACAATATGCAGTAACTGCTGTAATGTTGGAATAGATGCTTCTGTCTTAGGACCACTTCACATGGGGTAAAAGTGCCTTCATGAATGGCTTTGGGGGGTGGGGCTGCCATGTGCCATCACATGACACATGGCAGACCCAACCCACTTTCCTCCCAAAGTGGAGGCAAAGTGCCAACTTTGCCCTCCACTGTGGGGAGGAAAGCGTCATGCAGATAGCTCTGACAGAGCTACTCACACTTTGGCCCCAAAAGCCCATGTGATGGCAATGCGTTTTGATACATGTTGCCATCCCTTCTGCCATGTGATGGGGGTGGGAAAGAGTACCAATGCACACTTTCCCACCCTCCATATGTGATGAAAAAAGGAGGTTAGGCACGTAGGGTGCCACGAGTTGCCCCATGCACTTTCCCTTTCCCTGGCAAATGCTGGAGAAATGGAACAGCCCAGCTCAGTCCTGTGACAAGGCCCCTGGAGCATTTGTGTCAGCAGCCAGACACACAGAGGTTATGTACAACAGTACATAATAGGCTCTAAGAAACACAGGCAAAGAGGTATAAATAGTGATAGCCATTGTATAAATATTCTGGCAGGGCCAGAACATTTGGGATACTATGGAAAGGCACACATTTCCCACACATCATTTCGCACATTTCTTGCAATGGTAAAACCAGAAAATGCTCATAGTCAAGCTTCTAGTTCAAAACACCCATTGTGATATGAAACATTGTGCATTTGGAATCATGGTGCTGGGAGAGCTCACAGGGGCCATCCAGTCCAATGCCATCCTGCCATGCAGGAAAATTCAATCAAAGCACTCCAGACCAAAGGCTATCCAACCTCTGCTTAAAACCCTCCAGAGAAAGAGACTCAACCACCCTCAGAGGCAGCATAGTCCACTGATTAACAGCTCTCATTGTGAGGAAGTTCTTTCTAATGTTTTGGTGGAATCTCTTTTTCTGCAATTTGAATCAATCACTCCATTACTCCATGTCTTAGTTTCAAGAGCAGCAGAAAACAAGCTTGCCTCTTCAGTGTGACATCCTTTAAAATACTAAGCTGTAGTAGACATTGGTAGCATCTACCAGTTGAGGAAAGAATTTCATGTGTGGCTACAACTCATAAATAACCGTGTCTCGTACCCAACAACCAATACAAGCAGTGGCAACAGGACTCAGAAGGGCAGGAGGGTGCTGGATGTGCCATCCTTCGGTGCCCTGCTCTCTAGCATCACAGATGGCCTTTGGTTGGTGCACCTGCCTGGCTTTTACGGTGAAATCCAGGGAGTTGTGCTGGGAGATGGATCATAGTTACTCATATGTGTTTTGTGGCAAACTGTTCTCAGATCAAAAGACAGAGTGTGCAGGGAGGCAGATCTAAACATCTGGAAGTGATAAGTCTTCTTACTTACGCATCTTAACAAGTGTATTTGTACTTTGAGACATTCACATCTACTCTTTTTCAAGCAGAAAGTAATACATAAATATTTTTTTGCTTCTTTTATCTTCAAAGAAAAAAAAACCAAGATGGCAGAAATGTGACCATGCCGTGCTTTTGACCTTATTTAACCATGTTCTCAATTTGCAAGGATGCACCCATCCATAACCATTCCTATCCAAGCTCTCCCCCTCGAAAAATTGGATCGTGCATACACAAATTCAGCCTGAGGCAAACTACACATTACAAACAAATGCATGTAACATAGTCACAACTGGTTATATTTGCACAGAAAACCTTTGGCTGGAGCCCATTTGATAGAAGCTGCAGCAGGTGATGAAGGGATCACAACTCTTTTCCTGATAGCTATTTTCCTCTCTAAACCCTACCAATGAGAAGTGAAGAGGGAGGGGGGCATAGAACTTTCCGCAAAATGTTTTTCTTCTGGAAAAAAAATCAGCTGTTGAATGTAACTTGATATATACAAGATTCCACTCATTCCTTTTATATGCATTGCTCTGTTGCTTAATAAAATCAAAGTGTGGGTGGGCAAGGCCTGTATTTTGTTCTTCTTCTGCCAGCTTGATCAATCTGTATTTTTACTTCTAGCATTCTTGTATATTTAAACTGTGAAAAACTGATGAACACACACACATTGCAAATCTCCAATGTGCACTTTATTTCTCTGAAATGCCAGGAAATATATTTTGCAGAGTGCATGATGTGATTTTGTAGGATAACAACGTGTTTTGAACAGGTATGAATTTACTTAATGATTTTGCAACTCTAAGTCTAGGAAACGGCCTTGCAAAACAGCTTCAAAAACAGCCTCAAAACGTGTTGAGGTTTTAAAAAATGAAACATTGTTTTTAAAAAGGAGAAAACAGGATCATTTTTGTATTCTTTGTTCATGAAAATGCACATTCAACAGCTATACAAGCTGTATGACGTATGAGGAGGGAATTTTGAAATGCTGCACATTGGGAAAGACTTTCGCGTATCCTCTGCTTTGATCCCTCATATTTCATAAGGTATCTCTTCACTGTTTAGTGATGGCAGGCATAGTTTGCATGCAGACAGGCTCAGCTTCAGTTCCAGGCAATGGTGACTGTTGGCTTCCAATATGCTTTGGATGTCAGCATGGATTTTAAAGAAGCTATTCAAAATGCTGAGCCCTATCCAAACCCTAAAAGATTCAACATCCTGGAGACTGCCTTTAAAGTTCAGGCAAAACCCAGAACAGTGCCATCAGTGCACTGACATGAGAGCTACAACCTGCCACTGAATTCTGAGTAGGGTTGGAACAGCTTGTCCCGAAGCGCAGGAGATCTATTGTCAGGTGGAATAGGCAATACTGAGCTTGATGGACTAATACTCTGACTGGATAGAAGGTAGCTCCCTGTGGTTCATATGCTACATTTTCCACACATGTAAATTGTATCCACAGCCAAATGAAACACAGAAGCTTGCAAACAGAGACCAAATCTAATTCATAATGCTTGACACACTGCAAGGAAAAGCCACAAGAGCAA